ATTAAAATAAGTTTTCGAATGAAATAAATTTGTAACTTTTTATAGTGAGGTAATATCACAGGGGAACTGCAATCACAGTTTGGCATAGGTCCACATAATATAAACATGAAATGCTGTATGCACACCATAAAACATTACTGTTATCTGTAAAGTCAGTGAATATTTGTCTTCATAATTACACTTAACTGAGCACTATATTAAATAAATACCGAAGTGGGTTTCATAGCTGTAAACTGCATACACTTATAAACCGCAGACTCATTTTTAAATTGTCCAAAACCATTCACTCATTCTAACTTTCTGCTAATTGTATATTGAAAATACCCAGTTATTAGGAACAGTCATTTCTGTACAGTTACATGGTTGACGGAGACCACCTACGTTTGGAAAGCTGGCAGTTCATACGTATTTTGAACAGCATAGACGGAGATGTAAGTGCTAGATGCCGAGGATGGCTTCAACGAACCCAATAAGGCGTGCCAGGTTCCAAGGCTACCATAATACTGGCAAAGGCAGAATAACACGGTATATTTACAATACATATAATTCAACCTCATGAGGTGAAACTTAAATGAATTCTTAATTTGTAACAGCAGCTATATATACAGTTGTGCACAGGATTACAGGGAGGCAGCAGCGTTCGCTTTTGCTAAAAAGCCCGTCTTGCATGAAGAATGTGCAATGCTCAAGTTTAGGATTTTTTGTTTGTTTGTTTTTACTAGTCTGACAGAATGTGCACAAAGGACACTGGAAAGACCCCTTTCCTCTCTGGCTGTCCTTCGATGTGGCCAATCTGCAACACAGGAGAAAAATGTACATATATATATATATATGCATGCGTGTGTACACATGGAGTTCGTAGACTGCATTTACTTCATTCAAAAGCAGCAGAACTGCATGGATCCCACAGAGCCTTTCCAAGTTCTTGGACAGTTTGAAGCAGACCTTAGTTAACATTTGAATTTGTGTAAAGGAACAAAAGAAAACCGTACAAGCATATTATAAGTAAGACAAATTAAGCCAACTAAACCTAAAGAGAACAAAACTACAATGTTATTTGGAAACCTACATACGCCATGGAATTTCAAGAATCTTGCCAGAACAGAAGCCTGATTTTCATTTGTCTGGTAGACTAACTTTCAGTAGCAAGATATACAGCTCTGAAAACCATTCATCTTCGTTAACTGAATAAACCCTAAACATCTCACTGAAGGGAAATGTCTGCTACAGTCGTGAAGTTACTTACGATAATCTGGGTGCTTCACTCAAAGTGATAAAGGCCCAGCTATTTTCTCATTGAATTAGCGCGATTCCTAATAATTTATGTGCATGCTAGTGTTTATAACAAATCACCGTATTGTCCGATTAAGTAAACTTCATGTACAATTTCCTACATGTTTTGCATAGTAATAATTTATAAAGAAATAGCCAAGCAACTTCTAAAAAAAAAAAAAAAAAATAATGGCACCTTCTATTGAACTTTAGATGTTTAAAATGCGTAATTATAAACAACTGTCAAACTGATGGCACTGGAGCAGCAGTCTTGACTGCCCGCAGAGCCCTCTTTCCCATCCTGCTACAGTGCCGCTCGCTACTTTCAGAATATAGAGTACCTCCTTCCTCTTCCACAAGCTAACAAAATGGGAAGGGGAAACATGCAGGGCTGGCCATTTCCTCTTGTAGAGCCAAATTTTTTAAGCATATGAGTCAACAGCCCTCATTTCCCTTCTCAGAAACACTCAGACTGGAGCACTTCATGGAACTTGTCGGGCATGTACCCGGGGATCTTAAAAAGCCACTTCACAAAACAGATTCAGCAACTAATTCAACTAAAATCGGGGACTGGGTGATATGGTTAAAACACCAGCTTTTCACTGGGCATTGCTCTTCTAAGACAATCTTTTCAGTTGGAAATCTTCCACCCTTAAACGATGAGCAAGAGGAAGCTGTGTAGCTACAACCAAAACAGCGAAGGTTGCGCTGCACTTAGATTATGGAATCATAGGCAGCACTGCGATGGGAGTTTGTTTTAATCAAACTGGAATTGGTCTCGTTTTCCTCAATAATAATTCTTAGGTAGGGAAGTACGATGTAGCAGGGCTTTGGCGGCAAGGAGTAGAGAGTGTCAGGGGAGGGTTGGAGCCTTCAAGTGGGTTTGAGAAAAACCTGATGTTAGCACTCAAGAACCAAAGAACAACGTGTGGTCCAGAGTAGGGGGGAGTATGATACAGACCAACGGGACGGGAGGGAAGAAGGGAAAGAAAGTGTTAACTACCTCTCATTTAAGGAGGAAAACCTTTGGTTTACAGCACTAATTTTTAAATAGTTTTTCAGACTTCCAACAACCCCTGTAGGTATTACTTAATATTTCTGGTGAACTTAGTATTTCTGATAATTATGTATCTCATTTTCCATGAAGAGTGTAAGCATGCTAAATGGAGAAAAACTCACCACCTCTTCATTTAATGAAAGGCTAGTGTGCATTACAAAGAGTGGCACATGTAAACACGTGATGTATGTAAACACGTGTTGTTATGAGCCAGCAATAAAGCCAAGCCTAGTCAGGATGGTTCTAGCAGGAATAAACAGGCCCTACCAGAGAAAGGGGGTCTTCTCTAATAGGAGTTTAAGGGCTGGAGCTGGATGTTAACTCAGACAAAAAACTCCCCCAAACCAACAAAATAAAACCCTACCACCCACAAACCAAAATAACAACAACCCCCCCAAATTTGGAAAAAGAGGCTTTCCTTTAAAAGTCATAAAGAAGTTCTGTGGAACTATAAAAAGAGATACATACCCACCACTCTTGGTCCTCTTCACCGGTTACAATAATTACTTCTCCTTCAACAAATGTGAGCTCATCATCATTATCTGCCTGACAGTCATAAATGGTCTTCACACGCCTAACTTTGTTTTTCCCCTAAAAATAGAATGAAGGTTTGGATGAAGGACATGAGGAACAATGAAAACATACATAGAATTTTGCCTTTTAGTTATCTTTTATTTTTAACGTGTAGTGCACAGCTTAAGTAACTGATGCTTCCTTCAGTAAAAGAAAAAAAGCTTAAATAAGATCTTTACATTGTTCCAGTCCACAAACACCCTCTTTCTCCTTTTAATACACACTTCATAAAAGAGCCCACCATGAACAGAAAATGAAATCCAGTCTCCTCTGAATGTTACAAGAGAGGTGAGGGCTGAGGAAAATGCTGCATTGAAATCCCAGTATTCCTTACAGTTTTGGTTTTTGATCTACTGCAAAAATACAGTATCCTTTGATTTCAGATCTGCTTATAGGACTGGAACTTATTTTTTGAATGATTTTTCATCCTGTATGTTAGCAATTTCTTACTAAAAGAACCTTAATTTCAGATGGCGGTAATATTTTGTGATGATAATTCACAACAGAGACTCTCACAGCTCCACCATTCTGAGTCCAAGTATTTTCTAGGTCATACTTTGCTGCATACTGCTGATTCATATGAAAAAGCCTGGGCCGTGGACTCCTCCCTGAACATATGTTTCTCACGGCAGTGAAAATGCTTTAAATTATTTCCAAATAGAGTAAGGAAATAATATTGACAGCAAAACACTCCTGCTACTTTATGTTCCTGTATTTTCATACCCACAGTTCTTCAAAAACTACAATTCATTCTTTGAACAGAAGCAGTCAGATAATAAGAATGCAAAAAACCAAGAAGAGCACAAGGAGATGAGAAACAGAAGGGCTATGAAGGAAAAGTCAGCAGGTTTAGAGAAATTTGAGCCAGAAGTAACTTCACAGAGGAAATTTCCTAGGGAGCCTTCTCTTTGCTATTACCTGCCCATTTGAAATATCTCCGTGTTTTGGCAAAAAAAAAAAAAAATTCCCTGCAGATGAACAGCAGAACAGACACACAGCAAAAAGCACTCATACTAAACTCAAGGTGCGGAAGAATAACAATTATAGAGGGATCTGTGGGACAAAGCACTTGACATAAGACTAAAAAAAAAAAAGCCCTCCATACTCAAGACAAAGGAACAGAAATACCTGAAGTTCATATGAGATCAAAGCTTTTTTTACAGCAAGGGTTTGCTGCAGCAAGAAGTTACTTCAAAGAACACTTTCTCTTTTTTAAAGAAGTTCATATAATTTGAACCAAAATCTCAACTATCACTAGGGAGTGGAATTCAATACTAATCGGTATTTGGGGCCAGTCCCAGCTTTCAACTCCAGAGCGCCTTTACAAACTAAGAACACTTCCAATCAATCCCCCAGTGATGAAGGGAAGCAACTACTTCTGCCAGATAAAAATTGTCTCACTCAATAAAGGGGCTAAAGAAAGTTAAATTCCTCTAAACTTAGAGAATTGTATGCAACTCGGCTTGGAAGAACACATGAAAAATGATGGCAATTGCTCCTGGTTCCTTCTGATCAGTACCACAGATGACATTTTAATATTCTATTCCTTTCACTAAGGAGAGCAGTAAAAAGGAGGATCCAAGCCAGAGGTGTATTTAATCCTGGGAAGGTTTAAAAAAAGGATGGATCTGAAGAGAGTGTACGTTTTCCAGAGCACAGTTTGGCACACTGGCGTGTAAAGAAAGAGAAGCAATTCCAGGACATGTAGTTTGCGACTCTAAGACAAATATCACCCACCCCACCCCCAACTCCATGTACCCAATATTAGTTTTTATTAATAAGAGACCTTTATGCTGAAGACTGACTAATAATCAGCTGCTGTGGTTATTAATAATCCCTCTGCGTTCTTATTTGCATTAAATATTTTTTTTGTTTAAAAAGAAATATTTTGTTTCCTTTACAGAAAACACACACAAAAGAACACTCAAGTGCTCAGTGTGATTTTATAAGCACTCACAGCAAGTCTCATTTCTCTAAAGATATCCTTTCAAGTCATTATATATTAACAGCATTGGTTTTTTTTTACCTAACAATTCTGAACAATTGATTTTCTAAAACTTCCAATTAAAAAAAAAAAAAAAAAGTGCTCATAAATGAATTCTTAATTTGTAACAGCAGCTATATATACAGTTGTGCACAGGATTACAGGGAGGCAGCAGCGTTCGCTTTTGCTAAAAAGCCCGTCTTGCATGAAGAATGTGCAATGCTCAAGTTTAGGATTTTTTGTTTGTTTGTTTTTACTAGTCTGACAGAATGTGCACAAAGGACACTGGAAAGACCCCTTTCCTCTCTGGCTGTCCTTCGATGTGGCCAATCTGCAACACAGGAGAAAAATGTACATATATATATATATATATGCATGCGTGTGTACACATGGAGTTCGTAGACTGCATTTACTTCATTCAAAAGCAGCAGAACTGCATGGATCCCACAGAGCCTTTCCAAGTTCTTGGACAGTTTGAAGCAGACCTTAGTTAACATTTGAATTTGTGTAAAGGAACAAAAGAAAACCGTACAAGCATATTATAAGTAAGACAAATTAAGCCAACTAAACCTAAAGAGAACAAAACTACAATGTTATTTGGAAACCTACATACGCCATGGAATTTCAAGAATCTTGCCAGAACAGAAGCCTGATTTTCATTTGTCTGGTAGACTAACTTTCAGTAGCAAGATATACAGCTCTGAAAACCATTCATCTTCGTTAACTGAATAAACCCTAAACATCTCACTGAAGGGAAATGTCTGCTACAGTCGTGAAGTTACTTACGATAATCTGGGTGCTTCACTCAAAGTGATAAAGGCCCAGCTATTTTCTCATTGAATTAGCGCGATTCCTAATAATTTATGTGCATGCTAGTGTTTATAACAAATCACCGTATTGTCCGATTAAGTAAACTTCATGTACAATTTCCTACATGTTTTGCATAGTAATAATTTATAAAGAAATAGCCAAGCAACTTCTAAAAAAAAAAAAAAAAATAATGGCACCTTCTATATGAACTTTAGATGTTTAAAATGCGTACTTATAAACAACTGTCAAACTGATGGCACTGGAGCAGCAGTCTTGACTGCCCGCAGAGCCCTCTTTCCCATCCTGCTACAGTGCCGCTCGCTACTTTCAGAATATAGAGTACCTCCTTCCTCTTCCACAAGCTAACAAAATGGGAAGGGGAAACATGCAGGGCTGGCCATTTCCTCTTGTAGAGCCAAATTTTTTAAGCATATGAGTCAACAGCCCTCATTTCCCTTCTCAGAAACACTCAGACTGGAGCACTTCATGGAACTTGTCGGGCATGTACCCGGGGATCTTAAAAAGCCACTTCACAAAACAGATTCAGCAACTAATTCAACTAAAATCGGGGACTGGGTGATATGGTTAAAACACCAGCTTTTCACTGGGCATTGCTCTTCTAAGACAATCTTTTCAGTTGGAAATCTTCCACCCTTAAACGATGAGCAAGAGGAAGCTGTGTAGCTACAACCAAAACAGCGAAGGTTGCGCTGCACTTAGATTATGGAATCATAGGCAGCACTGCGATGGGAGTTTGTTTTAATCAAACTGGAATTGGTCTCGTTTTCCTCAATAATAATTCTTAGGTAGGGAAGTACGATGTAGCAGGGCTTTGGCGGCAAGGAGTAGAGAGTGTCAGGGGAGGGTTGGAGCCTTCAAGTGGGTTTGAGAAAAACCTGATGTTAGCACTCAAGAACCAAAGAACAACGTGTGGTCCAGAGTAGGGGGGAGTATGATACAGACCAACGGGACGGGAGGGAAGAAGGGAAAGAAAGTGTTAACTACCTCTCATTTAAGGAGGAAAACCTTTGGTTTACAGCACTAATTTTTAAATAGTTTTTCAGACTTCCAACAACCCCTGTAGGTATTACTTAATATTTCTGGTGAACTTAGTATTTCTGATAATTATGTATCTCATTTTCCATGAAGAGTGTAAGCATGCTAAATGGAGAAAAACTCACCACCTCTTCATTTAATGAAAGGCTAGTGTGCATTACAAAGAGTGGCACATGTAAACACGTGATGTATGTAAACACGTGTTGTTATGAGCCAGCAATAAAGCCAAGCCTAGTCAGGATGGTTCTAGCAGGAATAAACAGGCCCTACCAGAGAAAGGGGGTCTTCTCTAATAGGAGTTTAAGGGCTGGAGCTGGATGTTAACTCAGACAAAAAACTCCCCCAAACCAACAAAATAAAACCCTACCACCCACAAACCAAAATAACAACAACCCCCCCAAATTTGGAAAAAGAGGCTTTCCTTTAAAAGTCATAAAGAAGTTCTGTGGAACTATAAAAAGAAGAGATACATACCCACCACTCTTGGTCCTCTTCACCGGTTACAATAATTACTTCTCCTTCAACAAATGTGAGCTCATCATCATTATCTGCCTGACAGTCATAAATGGTCTTCACACGCCTAACTTTGTTTTTCCCCTAAAAATAGAATGAAGGTTTGGATGAAGGACATGAGGAACAATGAAAACATACATATGATACGAATTTTGCCTTTTAGTTATCTTTTATTTTTAACGTGTAGTGCACAGCTTAAGTAACTGATGCTTCCTTCAGTAAAAGAAAAAAAGCTTAAATAAGATCTTTACATTGTTCCAGTCCACAAACACCCTCTTTCTCCTTTTAATACACACTTCATAAAAAAAGCCCACCATGAACAGAAAATGAAATCCAGTCTCCTCTGAATGTTACAAGAGAGGTGAGGGCTGAGGAAAATGCTGCATTGAAATCCCAGTATTCCTTACAGTTTTGGTTTTTGATCTACTGCAAAAATACAGTATCCTTTGATTTCAGATCTGCTTATAGGACTGGAACTTATTTTTTGAATGATTTTTCATCCTGTATGTTAGCAATTTCTTACTAAAAGAACCTTAATTTCAGATGGCGGTACTATTTTGTGATGATAATTCACAACAGAGACTCTCACAGCTCCACCATTCTGAGTCCAAGTATTTTCTAGGTCATACTTTGCTGCATACTGCTGATTCATATGAAAAAGCCTGGGCCGTGGACTCCTCCCTGAACATATGTTTCTCACGGCAGTGAAAATGCTTTAAATTATTTCCAAATAGAGTAAGGAAATAATATTGACAGCAAAACACTCCTGCTACTTTATGTTCCTGTATTTTCATACCCACAGTTCTTCAAAAACTACAATTCATTCTTTGAACAGAAGCAGTCAGATAATAAGAATGCAAAAAACCAAGAAGAGCACAAGGAGATGAGAAACAGAAGGGCTATGAAGGAAAAGTCAGCAGGTTTAGAGAAATTTGAGCCAGAAGTAACTTCACAGAGGAAATTTCCTAGGGAGCCTTCTCTTTGCTATTACCTGCCCATTTGAAATATCTCCGTGTTTTGGCAAAAAAAAAAAAAAATTCCCTGCAGATGAACAGCAGAACAGACACACAGCAAAAAGCACTCATACTAAACTCAAGGTGCGGAAGAATAACAATTATAGAGGGATCTGTGGGACAAAGCACTTGACATAAGACTAAAAAAAAAAGCCCTCCATACTCAAGACAAAGGAACAGAAATACCTGAAGTTCATATGAGATCAAAGCTTTTTTTACAGCAAGGGTTTGCTGCAGCAAGAAGTTACTTCAAAGAACACTTTCTCTTTTTTAAAGAAGTTCATATAATTTGAACCAAAATCTCAACTATCACTAGGGAGTGGAATTCAATACTAATCGGTATTTGGGGCCAGTCCCAGCTTTCAACTCCAGAGCGCCTTTACAAACTAAGAACACTTCCAATCAATCCCCCAGTGATGAAGGGAAGCAACTACTTCTGCCAGATAAAAATTGTCTCACTCAATAAAGGGGCTAAAGAAAGTTAAATTCCTCTAAACTTAGAGAATTGTATGCAACTCGGCTTGGAAGAACACATGAAAAATGATGGCAATTGCTCCTGGTTCCTTCTGATCAGTACCACAGATGACATTTTAATATTCTATTCCTTTCACTAAGGAGAGCAGTAAAAAGGAGGATCCAAGCCAGAGGTGTATTTAATCCTGGGAAGGTTTAAAAAAAGGATGGATCTGAAGAGAGTGTACGTTTTCCAGAGCACAGTTTGGCACACTGGCGTGTAAAGAAAGAGAAGCAATTCCAGGACATGTAGTTTGCGACTCTAAGACAAATATCACCCACCCCACCCACAACTCCATGTACCCAATATTAGTTTTTATTAATAAGAGACCTTTATGCTGAAGACTGACTAATAATCAGCTGCTGTGGTCATTAATAATCCCTCCGTGTTCTTATTTGCATTAAATATTTTTTTTGTTTAAAAAGAAATATTTTGTTTCCTTTACAGAAAACACACACAAAAGAACACTCAAGTGCTCAGTGTGATTTTATAAGCACTCACAGCAAGTCTCATTTCTCTAAAGATATCCTTTCAAGTCATTATATATTAACAGCATTGGTATTTTTTTACCTAACAATTCTGAACAATTGATTTTCTAAAACTTCCAATTAAAAAAAAAAAAAAAAGTGCTCATCTATTTAGTGGCTCAATATCCAAAACCAAGAGTGAAGCACCCACAAGTACCAGTGGCTGCTGTCACAGGTCTTACTGTTGCACTGTGTTGGAGCATTTCACTGGTTTGTGCGGAGAGGATACAGCCAGAGGATGAAAATGGAGGCAAGATATATTTAAGAGGCATTCTTGCACATTATTACTTGAGCAAAAAAGACTGCTGGGAACATGAAGAGATACCTGTGTGCATGCAATGATGGAAAAGTGAAAACTGGAAAGTAGTTACCACAGACACATCATAATTTTGATCACTGCAAAACAGTGGATCTACTTCATGTACTGCAAATGTGAAAATGGATGAATTTGGAGAACACTGAATTTTTCCTCAGATATTTTCTGTATAAAGATGAGAGTTTAAAGAAAAAATAAAACAACACAGTATAAACAACAAATCCACTGTGTTTTCTTTCCTTCTTTAAAAAAGTAACAAAGAGCTGAGAGTGTCCAGCATCATTTGCCTGCTTATATTTAAAAGTATATAAGTAAACAAATCGCAGTTGTAGATGCCTTTTCATCAAACCCCTCTACTCTTTTATTTAATCTCCAGAACACTCAGGAAGCCCAAGCAACAACCCTGTCGTTCTCAGATCAGACAGGAGCGTACAGACAAGTCCAT